CAATATTACTTTTTCACCTTCAATGCCAAGGCATGTACTCTAAACTTCAAGTAGGACCCAATAAGCCTGCAAATGCACCACATTGTCAGTAGATGGCTTCAACCTTCTAAGTTATCTCTCCACCATATGCTCCTTTAGTTTAATCAACTAACATTTCAATATGAATTGATCAGATTCGACAGTGTACTTCTCTATAGAAGAATTTCTCTAATGTAAGTTGTGAAGTTTTAGGAATATATTTTTCTAGTAATGCGGAGGAATGTATTTGTATTGCATATCTTTTTTCATCTTAGGTCATATGATGATCTTACTTTTCACTTCCCACTGTTGAGACAATTTCGATTTACTCATCAAAGGGAACTGTTCTTTTTAAGTTTGATGGTTGCTAATTTGACTCTCTTATCTTTGGAATGTCTATGTACAAAAAAGATTATTTCACTGTTTAGAGCCACTCAAAGAATTGGATTGGATATAGGCATCTGTCAAAATTTGGCAAGTCGATCTTCATGCCAAAGTCATCTCTTCTCTGACATTTGATACTAAATCATTGGAGCGGTGGTTCTTTATTGCTGGAAACTTTCTAGTGGAAGATGTTAACTTTTCCATTTTGATCGGAGTCATTATTATGGCTATAAGTGACATCTTTGGGTTTTATATTTTTAAATGCAGTAAGTCTTTGATTACGTTGGAAAATTTTTATTTGCATATCTTTCATTGTAAGCTCTTGGACACTTTTGCATGTTTCTCCTTGACAACATGATGTCTCTTCTCCCAATTAAGGCTTCAACTAAATAGAGAGAGCACTTTATGGTTAGATTTGGGGATGGACGATAGAGTTAGGGTTAGGGAATTTCACTGGGTAGATGAATTAAGTTATATGGATTTTAAGTTTTGGATTGGGGAAAATAAATATCGAAATATTTAGTTTGTGGGTGACTTTGATACCAAATGCCACCGATCTAGGGTTTCTAAATGGTGTGGATGGATCAATGGTTGGGTCAGATATTTTTATGGAGAGAAACGGAGTGAAAAATGACATTGACTACTCAAAATGGGTTCAACAGACCACTAGATATCAGGCTGGGTGCAGAAAGCAAGCGGGCAGTGGATGCGGAGGTGTTGATAAGTATTTAGACGTTTGTAAGAGATCACCGCTTAAATCCAATTAGATTACACACACCACCTGAGAAAGATCAAGGATACTTCTCTCCTGTAAGAGAAAATTAAAGAGAATAGTCTCTAAAGCATAAAAACAAAGCAAAAAGTGTTCAAACAGAAGTTCACAATATATTTAAATGTCCCAAGGAAAAAGAAACTGTAATTAATTAGCTTAAATAGGTACCCGAAGGGGTTGGTCAGCCGTGGGGGTTGGAAATGTTGAACCGGTTCCTCCTTGTGTCTCTCCCTGCCTAGGAGGTGGGTGCGGCACGCCCTGCACCAATATTCATTTGCCCCTAACATGCCTTCAGGGTTTATGTGGATCAAACTCTCTACCTTAGATACACATGACCAAGCTTCTCGCTTATATGCCACTCAATTCGTGTAGTACTTTAGTCTAATAAAGCAAACCGTAATATGCCCTTGAAATAATATCACCCCATACCTATTGGAGATCGTCAATAGATGAGGGAATACATAGTTGCTAATGGGATACATAACAATCACTTTCAACACATAAACTTGATATAGTTTGCTCTCTGATTTTGTATTAAATTGCCATGAAACCTTACCCTTTTTAACTATTCCTCATCAAGTAAATCCTTATATGGAACCATGTGTTCTTGATGGGTTGCCATCATCAATGGGACTTACAAATGATGCCCGATGCATAAATAATATACCAAAGTATGGAGTAACGCCATACAACTTTCTTAAACCCTTCCAGTACGGTGGGATAATTAATTAGGGGATGGTGCTGATAGGAAGCATCTATTTGTAGAATAAATTACTGTGGATACCGGTTAAACAACTGATTATAATACTCAATTTGCCAGAGAAATAGCAATTTTCCTTAAATATTTTGAAGTTTTAATCAAGTAAATCCTTATATGGAACCATGTGTTCTTGATGGGTTGCCATCATCTTTACACAATGCAATAGGACTTACAAATGATGCCCGATGCATAAATAGTATACCTAAGTATGGAGTAACGCCATACAACTTTCTTAAACCTTTCCAGTATGGTGGGATAATTAATTAAGGGATGGTGCTGATAGGAAGTATCTATTTGTAGAATAAATTACTGTGGATACCGGTTAAACAACTGATTATAATACTCAATTTGCCAGAGAAATAACAATTTTCCTTAAATATGTTGAAGTTTTTATCAAAGATTGCATTTGATAGCTGTGGTTCTTGTAGAGATAAAATATTGGTTGTGTGCTGTGATGTATAGATTTTGGTGATTAAACATTTCAGGCGGATGTGCTGGTAAATTATTGTGGCATTTGCATTGTATAAATTCAAATGTGACCTCATTGTCTTGAATTTTTGTCATGGTCTGGTGTGAGTGTCATTTCATTGAGAAATTTTTTGATGGTACTGATGAAGTCTATCGGATGCATGCAAAGTATTTTTCTTGCATTTGTATTGTTTTTATTAAATTTTATGGTATTAATATCTTATCATGAGCACTTACGTCTGTATGTTGAGTAAACGTAGTTAGTCTTTTGGATGCTTGCAAAGTTTAATTAGCTGTTGATCATCCCATGATAAGAAGAAAATATGCATTTATACGAAGCACATGCTATCGTAAATAACGGAAGCAAAAAATATTGTTGATGTTCACTCATTTATTTCATCATCGTTAGCCTTATCCTTTTTTTTTGTTAGCTTTATAAATCCTTATTTTTCATCCATTCCTAATTGTTACTTGAGATGCCAGCATTTATTTACAGATTATTTTAGTAAAGTTATATCCGTCTTAATCTTCTTAATTCTTTCAATTAATTATTTCTACCCATTAAAAGGTGCATTTACTACATTCAATGTATCTATCCAAACCGCCCAACTATATTTTTAATCATTAACTTATCATCAGTAGATGTCACTTTGATATATTGCTAATATAATTATTCCTTAATTCAATCTTCCTAGTTTTTTCATGCATCCATCTTAATCTTTTTTTTTTTTTTTCATTTCCTCCTTGCTCAAACACTTTAAAATGTTTCCCATGTCTTAGGCACAAACACGTTTCTGACATTCTTTGATTTATTCAAAATTGGGTTAAAGATATCTCTAGCCCAAAATAGGAGTGGATTTTCATGCTATAACATCTCACCCATGCGACTGTTGATCCCATTCTGCTCCATTTCTTCACAGTAGTTTCATAGCCTTTGCATCATTTTTCTTCGACGTCTTGGCTTTGGCTTTCATCTTGTGCCATTTCTTCACCCCTTTCTCTTCATTATTTTGGCTTTGGCTCATTTTCTCTTTGTTCAACTAATAGCTGCACTATAGTGTCCCTTTCTTGTCAGTGTTGGTCCCAACCATCATAACCCCGCTCTTGGTTTCTAATTGCTACACTAGCATCTAGATCTTCCCATCTCTCGTATAATTGTGTTATAACTAAATGCTAATGGATCTAAGCAATAAGCATAATGTTTACCCACCTCCAATTTCCTTTTTCTTCTTGATTTTTTATTTATTTTTTATCTATTAAAATAGAAATTATTTTATCTTTAAGGTTTTATTATGTTATTCTAGGCTTTATTATTTTGATTTGACAGGAGAATCATTTTTGAAATAGTAAAAAGCGCACTGGATAATAGTTTCATAGAATGTGATAATAAGCTTTTGTGGAAATATGTTATCAAATTAGAAAAAAATAGTTGTAATAAGGGAAGGAGAAAATATACAATGCAATATTAATTTTGTCAAGTATAAGGAACATATTTTAAGGTAAGAACTCGCTTAAGCAAGTTCGGGAAGACATTTGGTTATGCTCAAGAGTAACTTTTATATAACTGGAAGGATTGCAACTCTGAGATGCAAAGGTTTAGCAAAGTAATAAGCTTATTAAGAAGGTTCCCCTTCTTTTATGCATATGTGCTTCAGTCATGTGAATCAACATTCCATCCTACAGTCAAGTGAAAATTCATTTATGGTGGGGTTTATGTCAATTAAAGAGGAAGATATTAGAACCATAAATACTTGTTGAAAGCTAATTTAATTTGTAAGCTATAAATCAGTCGCATAAAGAATTAGTTTACGTGTTTTATTAAGCTTCTTTTTTATTTCCTTTAGCAAGAAGTTCATATTATTTGTGTTTTTTCTTATGCAACCAAGAACTCTTACATGATATATTCTCTGAAATATAAAATTTCGAGGACACCTTAGAAGGAATATGCACTGTTGAAGGAATGCTTAAGCCTTGAGTCAATTCAAGGCACATAAAAAAGAGAAAGGTTGTTATCATTGTTTGTGTGATTGGCCTGATTTAAAAAAAGACCTCTCGTTAACTTTATGGGAGTTATAAAATCGAAGTTTATGTTTAAGAAGACCATCAATTATGAAGGAGCATATAAGATAGATTTATATTGCATTTCATATTAAAAAAATTTATTATGGGGGTTGATTTTGATAAAATGGTTCAGTTTATCATTGACAATATATCAATTTGCATGGTGAATAGGAATATTGATTGAGATCTATCAGTTGATATGCTTATTTGACCAAAAAAAAAGAAAAATTATTAAATGCAACAAAATCACATGGAGGGACCAAGAGTTCGCTCTCTATTGACTCACTCCCTTTCTCTTTCTTTTTCTATTTCTCTTTGCTAACCCTTGAAGATTTTTATAGGATTATAGGCTTGGTGACATAGCATTCTCATTTATTAATAGATGTAGTTTGTCTGTGAGCCCATATGCTGCAAGACCATAACCCTTATTGCTTGAAAAGTTATTTGGGACTTCTTTTTCTGAATCTTGTATTTGTAATTCATCAACTCTTGCCATGAAAATTCATTTTAATATACTTTTGTCATATTTTCATGGAGGTCTCGAGTTTTTTCTGGCAATTCTATATTTAGCATGATGGAGCTTAGCAGTCTTAGAGATACATTTGACAGAGTTGCCAAGAAGCAAAAGCTCTCATCCTCTGGAAACCTTGAATTGATTGATCAAGTTGGTAATGAAATAGAAAGCGCAATAATAAAAATGCAGGCTGCAAAAAATGATCTGGACAATATTAACTATCAATCCGTTTTGAAAGAGCTGAGGAATAAGCTGAATGAGATGACCCCTCTGAATCATCTTGAAGGGTCCCAGAAGGAACTAACTGTTTTGTTTGGCAAATATGTGAAGACCTTGGAGAAAAATTTTACTCCCGACATTTCAAAGGCCTATGGAAATATGAGTTTTGATGTGCACACGATAAACCATATTATCGCTAGCCATTTTTACAGGCAGGGCCTTTTTGATCTTGGTGACTGCTTTGTGAGAGAGGCAAATGAACCGGATGCCGCTGCTCTGAAATCACCATTTCTGGAGATGTATAACATACTGGAAGCAATGAAGGGTAGGGACCTCGGGCCTGCTTTAAAATGGGCCACTGCACAAAGCTTGCGCTTACTGAGTAATGGTTCAAGTCTTGAACTCAAGCTTCAGCAGCTTCAGTTTGTAGAGATATTACAGAAGGGAGACAAGAATGAGGCTATTAAACATGCGAGGACATACCTGGCTCCATTTGCTTCGGTGCACAAGGTTGAAATTCAGAAGTTGATGGCTTGTCTTCTTTGGGCCGGACGGTTAGAGCAATCACCTTATGCAGAGTTCTTGTCACCATCACATTGGGAGAACATGATCGAGGAGGTCTCCCAGCAATTCTGCAGCTTGATGGGTCAGTCACATGCAAGCCCACTGAGTGTTGTAATATCTGCAGGAGTCCAAGGATTGCCAACTTTGCTGAAAATGGCGAGTGTCATGGCAGCCAAAGGGCAAGAGTGGCAAGCCATGAAGCAACTACCAGTTCCTGTAGACTTGGGAAGGGAGCTTCAGTTTCATTCCATCTTCGTCTGCCCCGTGCTTCGTGAGCAGGGCAGTGATGAGAACCCACCGATGTTGATGCCTTGTGGGCATGTGCTGTCAAAGCAATCCATTGTGAAGCTGTCAAAGAGCAACTCGAGGGTTTTCAAGTGTCCCTATTGCCCGTCAGAGGCCACGGTCACCCAGTGCAAGCAGCTACACTTTTAGAATCTAGAATTCCATGTCAATGGAGTGTTATGGCTAGAAATTCTGTGTCAGTTTCCGATGTCAGGCCATTCATCCATTCCATTGATTATTTATGCTGCTGTTTTTTTCTGTTGTTTTGATACTTAAAACAGATGTATGTTTACATTGTATTACTATGCCATGATTTTATTTTGTTTTCAACCCTATTTGTAATTTGTAGCCGAAACTTACTCTTTTATTGTCATGTTTTATCAGCATCATCATCATCGGCATCATTATTGTTGGTGTATTCTTTTGTGTTAAAAAAAAAAACCACATTGGCATTTCACAATCCCATAAAACTATCAGCTCAGCTTATTGCTTTGGCTGGCTTCCTGAACCCATGTTTAGTATTTTTATAGAACTTGGATTGGTAGTAAAGAAGTCGTAAATTTGATAATATGGTTGCTTGCAACAGAGTATTATTTATTTATATTGGGTTAAGATACCTTGATGTAGGTAGGGGCTACGGGATAATACATAAGAGAGTTTTAATGTTGTTGGAGACATTTGGAGTCGATGAAATAAAAGATTAAGGGGAAGTTTAGCCTTGCTTTGAGGGGAGGGGAAATGCATTAGAAATGTGCAGGATTAAAATTGAAAAACAATTATGGTTTCAACAAAGTCTTATGGGATCAATCAGCAAGCTTCACCAAAGAATAAGGTATATACCTAGTCGGTTCACATGAAAATTGTTTAAATAAATGATAAGCTTATTTAAAAAAAAAATCAAATATTCATAATATGATCTTTGGAGTCGGTAAAATTCTATGGAATAATGACTTATTTTAATGAGAAAAAATAATCAAATAATGATTGAATAACCTTTCTAAGTCATTAGTAAGATAAAGAAATAATAGTATGATTGAATCATTAAAAAAAAAAAGTTTGAATGATGATAACAAATAATTAAAATATTTTGAGTGACCTTAAAATAATAATCGAATAATGATTGAATAATGGTCAGATAGTTATTGAGTCACCTTCATACATGATGAATCTTTGTTTAATTATAATTTAATTAGCGTTCATTCATTTTTTGAAAAATGTCTTAATTGTGATTAAATCATCTTTGATCATGATCAGTCTATGTTTAATCATGATTTAGTTATTATTCAATCATTATTTGAAGATAATTTTAAGATGATTTAATCATTATCTGATTATTATCTAATCAAGTTCTTAGCATAAAATTTACTATTTATTTGCATTGTGGGTTTGTGGTATGTGTTTCTACTGGCATTTTGTGATTTAGGTTTATTGCTTAATCATCATATTCAATCATAATAAACGAAATTAATAATATTAATATTATGACTAGATATAAGAACTCGAAAGCGATTGTCAAAATATTGCCAAAACTTAATTACAATCATTAAAAAGAAATACTCATAAAAGGAATGATCAAAGAGCCCCATGAGGGTTCCAACTATTTGTTAAACAATATGTATTTTGATTTGGAAAGAGTTTTTTAACATATTTTTTAAGAAAACATATAACCTAGACATTTGACAAATTTCACTTACTATGAGCAAATGTAGCCATATTTTCCTTCTAAAATTTGTTCCAATTTATATTTTTTATTTTGGTGTCTTTGAATAAAACACAAATTTAATTAGAGATATTCTGATAGCTATCATTTTCTTATCTTCCAAAAAATTTATTTAAGAAGCTTTTTTTTTAATGGTCAGCCATGAATCAATGAATCAAGAGCTTTCAACTGTAAGATCCAAATTTTTTTTCTTTCACTATCATACATATATCACAATCACACTTGTTTAGGGTTTAGGGCTGTAAGTTTTCTTAAGATAAGTAAGCATCTTCATAATTATGTTTACAACAATCTCGTTCTATATGTTTCTATATATGCACATAGTAATTATCCATTTTTGTTCATACTAAATGCACAAATTTATCAAACTAACTTGTGATATTTTTGTATAACAAGTTATATTCAGCCACTTGCATTATTGTCTCTATAGGAGCATGCATTCTAGTTATATATATATATATATATATTATTGTATTTCTTTTTTTGAGTTTTGGATAGTTGTTTCCCTTATTATCATTTCACCATTATTTTTTGTTTTCATTCATTTGGATCGATTGAACTTTTATTTATTTAATAAAATAAAACTTATATTTGCTTGCTTATTTTATTAGTGCTTGTATATGATCAATGCTTATGAAAATATAGGTCAGATTCAATTTTTTTCATCATGCCCTATATTTCAAATTTTTTCACAATATCCTATGTTATTGGGTATACTAACTTTCACTTCCGGAGTCTGCAATCAACTTCTTAAAGAACTAAAAAAAAATTAGTTAATTTATATCAAAATTATTAATTATTGTTTAAATGCTGAGATCTTGAAAAATAAGCTAGCTAACCCCAAGTATAATTGCGAAACTTCCGCTTTAGGTGGGCACCGATTCACCTTAGTAGATCGACAGGAGAATTGAGGGAAGGGGTAAAAGAGGAGTCGCCATTTTTCCGCTGCGAAGCCCCTTTGCGTTTCAATAGCAGTGACCTCAATGGAAAGAGGCTGTTAGATCGGAGAAGAATCTGCCAGCGAGCACTGAGAGAGCAAAGTGGTTCGGCGTTTATCCTTCTTCCTCTCGTAGGAACCCTGCTCTTTCTTTTGGCAAAGTCCTTCGCCGGGCAGAGAAACTGTGCCTTTGGCATGGCAATCTACTTTAGAATTTAAAAAAGAAAATGATACCTAGAATTCCTTCTGCGGAGGATAACAATGAGTTAATTCACAGAGGAGTCTCCCAGCATAGAGCTTTTCCCTTCCGTATGCTATGGCTCTTCATGTTCTTCCTTGTTCTCGGTATTGGATTCTTCGCCTTCAGTGTCTATCTCACGCGGCACTTCGCGTTCCAGGGCATTCGGATCCAAGCTCGCTCAAACTTCCGGGCCTGCGATGACGTGATGCAGGGCGGGGTTACATTGGATCAGTGGATCCGCCCTTTGCAGACCACAGCGCATGGCATGAGCGACGGGGAGCTTCTCTGGCGTGCATCTTTCGTTCCCCAGGTGAAGGAGTATCCCTTTCGGAGGACGCCCAAGATCGCCTTCCTATTCCTCACCAGGGGCCCGCTACCCTTGGCGCCTCTTTGGGAGAAGTTCTACCACGGTTACTTAGGGCTGTACTCCATTTACATTCATACTCTTCCCTCTTACATAGCCAATTTCTCTTCAGAATCCGTGTTTTATGGACGGCAGATTCCTAGCCAGGTGATTGACTCTATTTGATCTACCGGTGCAGTTTTTATTACGAACTCTCATCCAGCTCTGAGAACTTCTCTTTCTGCTTTTTTTTTTTCCCTAGCAACTTCTTAGAAGCATTGACTTCGTCATTATCTATTCCTGAAGCCATGCATATTGTGCTCCTTGCTTATTGCTTTTTATATTTCTTTGCTTGGCACATGCCAAGGGTTTTTACCTTTCTATTTGGCGGGGGAGAACGGAAAACCAATTCTTAACCAAGAATGTTTGTATTCTTTTTGTATTAGCTATTGTCACGATTCCTTGCTTCATCTGCAAGGCTTGAATGCAAACTGGACATCTTTGGGGCGTTTTTTTGTACTGAAATTTGTGAATGGAATCGAAGCAAGTAAATTTTGATTTTGAATTTGTGAACTTGACGTTTGTCCGATGTTTTATAACTAGTGGTAATGAATGGAATAGTTGCAAGCTAATCCTGGGTTTTGGATATATGCCATCTAAATATTTTGAAATGATAAATGCTGAAGTTTTAAATCCTTATACTTTTCATTGCAGTGAACTGGGATTGTTAGTACTACATTACCGTTTCTTCAGGCTTCTTTTGAGAACCATTGTTATTCAGTTTGGCCCAACATATGTTTTGTCAATGCTCAAGATCGTTTTTGTCAGTGCTTTTTTTTTAAAAAACTTTATAAGCATGGCTTGCTTGGACTATCAGTACTTCCATCTTAAGTACTCATTAGATGTTGGATTTTTATTTTTGGATTTACTTTTTCTAGAGGATCCTTAAAACTTTTATGTGATCTTTGATAGATTTTGGTAGGTGAACATTTAGTAGCAGACATATTAATTAATTTATTGAACCTTCTTCGTTTGATAATTTTTGCCTTTCAAACAATTATATGATGCGTGTTAAGATCATTGTGCTCTTGCTTGAATAGTGCCCTACATGGGATCTGCTTGTAAACTTTTCGTCTTTGCATAAGATGATGACTTAATTAGTATTTCCCTCTTTTAGTTCTAAAAGGTGTTTAGTCAGTTTTGTGTATACTTGTGAGTTAAATAGGAACTCCTCTAAAATTATAATAAAAATAAGTGGCAAAAAAGGGTGAAAGTAGAAAAAAGAATAAAAAGGAAAGAAGAAAATAGTTCTTCAATCTACTCAGCTTAGAGGGACCTTCTAATAGCCCATTAGAGCCTTTAATTTGAAATCCTTGATCTTAAGGTCAACATTTTAGTTTAATATTTTATAGGTTGGATAGGATAGGGTTCTGATTATGTTCTTACGTAGTTGGGATCTTTATTGGTCGAGCTATACTCCAGAAGCTAAATCCAAGCACTTTCCTTTCACCCAATTGAGCTCCCCATTGGGTATGGAGAAAAAAACCCATCATTATTTCCTTAGTGACGGGCATAACCCTTCACTATGATGTTGGTTCTATTGCAAGTAAGGGAACATATCGTCAGTAGTATTTACTCAGGGTATTATGCATGTGGTTCTCATAGGAATGCCCAACAAAGTAGCCAAAAGTTTGTGGGATTATGAATGGAATGTGCTGCCCAAATGATAGAAGCTAATCCCCAACAAATATAAGAATATGTGGAAAACGGATTGAATATATACCCTAGAATTTTCACTTGAATGTTATGCATAACTAGATGTGGTTTATTTAAATCGAGGATCAAAATTTGCCATATTAGCCCATTCTTAATACATTTTAGATAAGAAAGTTCACTATTTTATAAAGAAAAGATGACCCAATGTAAGAACCTGCTAGGGGATGGAAAAGCTTTACGACTTCACAATAGCTATGGTCATAGCATATTGAGTTGCCCATAACTATATGATAACAAAAGATGACAGGATAATGGATTTTATAGTTTGAAATATAGAATGACTCCATGTAACATGTAAAAATATTGAAAATGTAAGATTAAAATTTATCTTAAAATTTGGTTTCCTTGTTTTTGCACGTTCTAAAAATTTATAAATTCTACATTTTGTTAAAATTATTTTGATGCATATAAGTATATATGCATTTATAAATATGTTAACATTTATAATTAATTTTTAATTAAATTATTTTTCCTAAGATTAAGTTAATATTACTAATCACCTCTTTATTTCTCTATTCAACAAACTATAATACTATAGTGGCAAATTTCATAATACACTTTCAATGGCATATAATGGAGGATTTAGAACTAGACAACAATAATGATTTTTCTTTAATAAATATTAGTATATACATATATATTATTAATACCTAAAGCACATTTGAATCCCTCTAATCATTTCCTATAACTTAGAAGAAGAAAAAAAGAGAAGAGGGGGACTAAGAGTTCAAGACAGAAATTAGATTTTGTGTTCCCTTTTCGCAAATTGAGGTTTGTATTGACTTGATAAGCTTCAAAACTTGAATGAGAAGAAATCATTTAAAGTTAGGATAATATTTTTAGGTTAATTGAGTTTGTTATGAGTTGTTAATTTAGGAATTAGCATATATTAAAGAAATCAACATGGTTAATGAGAGAGCAAAAATCAAAGAGATAAAAATAAGAAAATTTGTTTGAGGATTTTATATTTTTAGTGAGATGCTTGATCTCTAATATAAGGAGCAAATTATTCACAAATAATATTTGTAAATTTTTATCATTCTCATCTAGTTGTTATGTGTATGATTGTAAAATTTTTTTATATCAAGCATTTTAATGAAGATTTATATTATCAAGAATTCTATAGTTTTGCCTATGGTCATATTTTTGAATAATTTCATGATATTCTATATCATTCAAATTTTATGATTGATTTCTATGTCATATAATATACTATATTTGCATGCTAATACATGTTCATAATAGATGCATAACAATGCCAAGTAATTTTGAATGCTTATAATATTAACGTTAAAAATTTTCGTTGAGGATATCTGTGGGCTCCAAAAATTCATGACAGCTCCCCATGAACTCTGCAATTTATTTTTATTTTTGATTTGAGAGAGCTTTAGAAGGTCAAATTTTAAGAATGCAGATTGAATTGTAGATAAGACACTACTGAGAGATTTCACGCTTATTTTGCGAGGATTTTTTGATCTGGGGTTCAAGGTTTTCTATAGGCGTAAGCCCTTATGGTTAATTACACCTTCCAATAATGATTGAACACTTTCGATTAAGGTTAGTCATCAATACTTGAATGTTCAACATATAATAGCAGCTAACTTAGTATTTAAATTGTAGAATTCACCACTTAAAGCTTAAAGCGGATAGTGGGAGAATGAAGATGAAACCTGATCAAGATCCCATGGTTCCGCATCTCGGGCCATCATGTTGCCTGATCTACTTATTCAGAGGAGATCGTCAACCCAATATGACAAAAGGATGCTTGTCAGCAACCATGGGTTGCTTCGTTCAAGAGATCCTAGTAGATCTGGATTGGATGTTTGTCTAAGGGGACAAATTTATGTCGGCCTTAGCTAACAAAAGACTTTGTGTCAATCAATTGTACCCTTATGATTCACAACTCAAAGGGTAGAAAGTCGTTGGAAGCATACAGGCTGCAACTGTGACCGTATTATAATGGTGTTATTTTACGACAACTACCGGGTCAAAGGGCTCTCGCCATAATCACTACTTTGTGATATCATTAGGTGACATAACCACGCAGACAGAGGACTCATGTCACGTCCTTGCTGGCATGCAATTACTTTAATTGCGAATATATTGATACATTTGATAAGACATTGACTCTTTGTGAGCTGAAGTCAATCAGAAGTTTGTTACCCTCGACAAATTGTTGCGGAGAGCATATGAATTTTACTTTTAGCTTTTGAGTGATTGAATTTTAACTTGAACATTTATTTGGTTACTTTGAAAATATTGATTTAAAAGATTGTCCGCTTCGGTTGAATTCTTCGATCAACACAGCCCCATCATCAAGGAATTTTAAAATTTTAAAGTATTTATATTTCAAAGTGGGTTTAGTTTTGTTAAGTTACTTTTCAGATATGAGTCATGTCGACTCATGTCCTTAAAAGGAGGAGGATAAGACTGGGTGATTTAGATTTATAAATTTTTATTTTAGGATTTTGACATTTATTGTGAAATTACTAGACTCGTTAACTCCTGTCCCTGCGAGGAGGATCGGCTAGTTAGGTGAGACTTTTTTAAATTATTTTTGAACTTTACGAGTTTGAGTCTAAGGAGCCCAATTTTTAAAATATTTTCAAGTTCATAAGCTTTAAATTTTAAAATCCAAGTGTTAATATTTTTAAGCCTTGAAAATTTATATTTAAAAGCCCAAAACTTAAAAACTTTTATAATCTTAAGAGCCTAAATGTTAAAAGCCCGGATCCCCGATATTTTAAAATTCTAAGAGCCTAAGTTTTGAAAAGCTCTGCTCCAAATCATTTGAAAGTTCAAATGGGTTAAATTTTATGCTATTTTATAAGCTCAAACATTTTAAAATTTAAGACTAATTACATATCCAAATCACCCAAAATTTTGACAATCTACTGACGTCAATCTTCGTTAGGGGGCATGGGAGAGTGCCAACCTTCCCAACTATGTCAGAAGATTCGTCGGTCAGTGTCGAAAGACATTGCAGCCGGAGAGCAAAATTAATTTTTCAACATGCGGTCTCAAAAGACGCTATGGGGGAGCAAAAATAATATTTAACCTGCGATATCAAAAGATGTGACAGATCTTTAGTGTACTTGCAGAAACAGTTAAATTGCAAACAAAGATCCCCCGATTTTAAAAATAATTTTCTAGAAGAGTTCGTATGTTTCCTCACCTAACGGATACTGTGCTCTCCTTAAATGGTGGTTTTCAAAAAAATAGTTTCCTATTGCCCCATGTTGTATCTGCATGAAACCTTGATTTTAAAAGAATTCTTTCTCCGCCTAACGGGTACTGTGCTCTCCTCGAATGGAGGTTTTAAAAAAAGAAGTTTCTCAATTGCCCCACGTTTATACCTTTCAAGTCTCAATGGAATTGAAAATGACGGAACA